TCATATTTTCAATTACATAAAGAGTCAAAGCAAGTACCTAGCAAGAACTCTTCTTTATTTACACACCTGAGTATGACCTTTAGAAGTGGGGGAAAAGGTGAGGCCTGCCTTCAAAATGGCTTCCCTGAAGCCAAGCACACATCTGTAATCCCACCTACCTGGGAGGCTGAGGCAGGAGGACCACAAGTTTGAGGTTAGCCTGGGGAATTTAGCAAGAACCTGTCTCAACATAAAATAAAAAGGACTGGGGATCTAGCTCAGTGGTAGAATATTTGCCTGGCATGCCTAGCACCACACACACACACACACACACACACACACTCACTCTCTCACACACATACACATACACTCTCTCTCTCCCCCCCGCCCCCCCGCCACACACACATACACAATGAATGGCTTCCCTAAATTACCCAAAAAGAAGGAATTGGGTTAAAGAAAGGGATCTTGTGGATCTTCCCTTAAGTCTCTGATTTTCACCACCTGCTTTTTCACGTCACAGAAAAGAAAATTCTTTCTTTTCGTCCCAATTCCTGAGGCACTCTGACTTATTACTGTAAAATGACCTGCTGCTTGCCAGAAGTGGCCCTGTGGTAGGTTGAGGGAATTACGACCATGTCAAATGATTACAGAATCTCAGAGTTGGAACTTTTTAGGCTAAAGGTCCAACACTGGGGAGAATGCAATCAACCAAGGAAGAGGTTTGTCTTCTCTTCCCTCAGCCTCCTGGGGACTAGCTCCCTGGCTTCTCCATGGTCCCTGTGTTTTTGTCTTCCTCAGGGTCAGAGAAGGACATGTGCATCTCTCTTGCCTTCATGTAAGTCAGCTTCTCCTCCTAACAGAAAAGCCGCATGTGTTAATAAACAGAGACTTTTGGAAAAATCCATTCTTGAAGAAGGTGTTTTTGGAGAATAGAGAAATGTAAGAAGGATCTAGGGAAGAAAAAAAAAAAAAGCCCAAAGAACATAAAAGAAACTAAAGTAGCTGCCATTATTTGGGATGAGGAGAAGGGTTAAGTTGTATATCAAAAATAAGACTGGCGGTAAATCATGTTGCTATTATGCACCTCCTGATACAATGCAGACAGGGCACTTAACCTCTCTGGTATCCTCCTCAAAATTTTAACCGTCTCTAATCCTAAACAACACCACCAGACAGACCCAATCCAAAGGACAGACTATGAAGTACCTGGCCAGACTCTTCAGAAGTATCAAGGTCATGAAAAACAAAAACAAAACCAAGAAAAACAGAAAGTGTCACAGACCAGAACAGACTAACACCCAAATGCAGACTGAGACCCAGAAAAAACTGGAAATGTGGAAAAAGTGCTGAAATCCAAATGAGGTCAGGAATTAGTCCTAGCAATGTACAAATGGTAATTTCTTAATTTAGACAGATGTTCCCATAGTAATATGAGATGCAAATGTTGGAGGAAGCAGAGTAGAGGGGAATTTCCTGCACTGCCTTTACAACTCTAATGTACTTCCAAGTTGATTCCAAAGTTTCAAGCTTATCATTTTAAAATAGGGAATATCCTGGGCTGGGGTTGTGCCTTAGTGGTAGAGTGCTTGCCTAGCATATGCAGGGGCACTGGGTTCGATCCTCAGCACCACATAAATGTAAAATAAAGATATTGTGTCCACCAAAAACTTAAGAATATTTTTTTAAAAAATAGGGAATATCTGAATATTAAAGGAACTGTATTCGCTTAATGCCACTGTGCTTCTGTTTATATTATTTTCATTGTGCGGTTTCTGTTGAAAAACAGCTGTCCAGCAGGTAGTAAAATAACACTTTGGAAATTGCATATTTGTTAGAACTTTGTTTCCTCTGTTCATAAGTGAAGCACAGTCAAAAGAAGACTCTACCACATAATTTTTGTGTGTATGTGGGAGAATCACTGTAACTTATTTGGAACCTTGGGACCTCGCTCAAAAAATTGGAGGAGTTGTACGAGATCTACTTTTCATTGCTTCAGCACTCTAAAATGTTACAACTCACTTGAGTAAGTCATAGCATGAGTATTGAAAAATACAAAAATCTTTTTGAATTAATTTAAGAATGCCATGCATCTGGCTGAGGCAAGAGGAACTGAGGTACAGCTGAGCTTCTGATAGACTATTGTTTTTCTGAAAAGTAACAATAAGGAAGGGTGCTCTGGAAACTTGGCAGAGGGGTCTGGAAATGCTGGGATGGTGACTCTGGGAAGCAGTTCTATGAACAGCAATGGCTTTTACAGGCAAAGGGAACTGGGAAAGCATAATCAGGCATAAAATGGTGTAGCCCAAGAGCTGTAAAGGACTGGCCACAGGAGAGGATGAGGCAGTCTGGACAATAGTATTGGCTCCAGGCCAGGTGGGCTGTATGAAGACCAGGTCAGAGGCCACCCCTTCTCCCCTGGGGCTCTGCAGGGATGGGGAGGAGAGTTGAGCCTTAAGATAAAAGGGAGCCCTGGGTCCCCAATAGGAAAGGACCTTCCTTTTCTACTGATAAATGGAGTAAGCTAAATGGTTTAGTCTTAAACTTTTAGAAATAGAAATAGAAAATGAGAGCAAATCAGCAAGGGTAATGACCTAAAGCATTAGATTACAGGAAAAGCCAGGGTTTGGGCCAAGGGATGGAGCGCCTGAAAGAATGATTCATGCTTTGAACCAGTGCCTACTGAATAAAGTGAGACCAAGTATCTGAATATATTGACCTCTTGAGTATGGAGCTGTTACGGAGCTCAGGGTTCCTTCACATACTCTAAAATAATCTTCGCACTTTAAAACAATTTACTTTAGTGAGAAAGAGAAAAAGAGAAACAGCAGCCTGAAATCCTAAGGTTTATCTTTGAAAGAGTAATTATTGCTGACCCTCCAAGGAATAAGGCTGCCCAGGCTCACGGCAGTGAAATCTGGGGCACCCCTGGGAACCAAATTTTATCACATGATCAGGGAAAGGTTGGATGTCTCATCCAAAATTATCTAATGGCCACTTTGGGGGGGGAAGGGTAAAGCTCTATGTCTTGGAAACACAAAGCTAATAAAATAAAACTCTCCCCTGGAAGAGATTATAATTTAAGGGTAGAACCAAATATTTTTAATGAAAATACATTATGCCTTTCTATTGTTAGTTAAGTATTCATATAATGACCTAAAATGTTCTTACATTTACTTGCTCTGGAAAGATTTCAAGGCTCACAAAACCTTATGTGATAGGCACTGTTCCCATTATCCATCCCAGAGGACAGATGTCCTCTGAGGCTCAAAACGGTTAGGTGACCCATTTAAGAGGACATAGCCATTCAATGACACAGTCAAAACCTAAACCTCATGCTTTTTCTTAATACAAATATAGTGTTGTCCCAGTTTACTTTCAAAACTTTTCTCTTTGCCTTTAATGCTCTACAGTTCATAAGGGAGTGCCTACCTGTGGATTTGGTTGTATTTATCATTACTACTTTGAATATGATGTGCCCTTTCTATTGAGGGAATACTTTTTTCTCCAGTTGATCCAAGTTCTCACCCATGTCCATTCATAGGTTGCGTCTCTCTCGTTCCCTCTGATCTCTTCTAGAATTCAGCTGGATGCTGCTGGACCTTCTCCATCTATTCTCCTACCTTACCATCACTCTTTCATATCCTTCTTCATATCTCTCTGTTACATACTGGGTGACTTCCTCAGATCTCTTTCTCCAGAGCACTAATTCCCTCTTCAGCTTTACATAACATGCTAGTTCATGCTTTTTAAAATCTACCTCACCTCCATTCATGCTCTCTGTTCATCTATGAGGGATTCTGCATCCTCTTTTACCTTTTAAGTTATTTTATACACACTTGCTGCTGAGTCTCTGGCAGGCTGTTCCTCAGTGCTGGTAACCTATCTGTAGTGATTTTACTACTGAGTTCCTCCTCAGTGGAGACTTCTATTGTAAGGTCTCATTGACCCAGGGTTAGCAGAATCTTCCTACTGAGAAGTTTTAGGAATGTCTCCAGTGAATATTTTACCTTTCAAAGCCTATTTTATGTTTTCTCCACTTGGGAAAAATTTAGATTTCATCCAAAGTGGTGAGTTTAATTAAAATGACACTTTCTCTACAAGATTCTAAGTTGAGAGAAAGAAAAATATTCTCATAAAAAGATATTGTATATAAAGCACCTACCACAGAGAGTAAAACACAGTGACTATTTACTAAGTGTTAACTATCTCCCCTCCCCAGTGCATTGATCAGCGCATCTTTACTTGAGTATGTCACTCTAAGGAATTCTTTCCATTCTGCAGGGTTTGGGGTTTTATTTAAATTATTTATTAAAGCTGATTTCTATCATTGTAAGAATGAATGCATGCAGAGGGTTCATAATAAATGTTGCTTTAAATTTATTTTTATCATTGTAAGCATATACAAATTATGAAATATATTTGACAAGCTTTTAATTACTGATTTTAGTTTTCTAGGATTCTTTACAGATTCCATTGGTTCTTTTATAAACCTGAGTTATAATCAATTCCTACTAAACCCATTTATCAGTTAAGGATATTATCAAGCTATTTCTAAGATTGCTTAGAAAGGATTTCTAAGACAATTGTTAGTTATGATACTCCATCCAGAGTATATTTAAAGCCAAGCTAAAGCATCACTGTCACTTTCCTGAAGACTTTACAAAGATAAATTAACCAGCTAACAATGAAGCACTATAACATTTATAATAACTGCCACATAAATATATAAATAAATTTATTTGGCTGCATTTACTGGCTTGAAAAGTCATCTTTCACAGTTAATTACCATGATTTCCTTTCAACAGAAGACTATTGTCCAGCAAAACAAAAATTGAAATTATTCTTTCATTATAAATCCTCCAATGTATCAAAGAACAACAATGGGTACATTTTTTAACGAACTTTCAGTGGTATTTGAAAGTTCTACACTGAATAAAGTTTTAACATTACTTATTTTGACACAAAAACAATCTGCTATCTTAGGTCATATAATAAAACATATTTTTTCTAATTCTTACCTCTGAACTTCTTGGGTGGGTTAGCAAGGTCCCCTGCCTCTGGGTGCACCACACATCTGTCATCCACTAACCTACAAGGGAAAGTATGTTTACATGGTTAATGTTGTCATATGCATAGTCCACAGGCTGCACAAGGACACTGCATAAATATTTACACAGTGTTAACAGCTTCACTAAGAAACTTTTTAATAACCATGAATTTGTAAAAAGATTTGTTTTTAGGAATTCATTACAACAAGGTTTATGAAATTGAAAAATAGAATATATTGTTAACTAGTAGGAAACTAGTTAGAGAAATGGAATACTACAGAGTTACTTAAAATTCTATTAAATAAAATGCACTGGGCTCCAAAATGCCTATACTACAGTGTAAAAATAAGTGATAACCAACAAATATGATATCACATGTTTAAATACATGGATGCATGCGTACACACACACACACACACACACACACACATATACATGTAACAAAAGGAACACAGATAGCAAAATATCAAGAGTGGTCAGACCACCCATAGCTTTTATTTTCCTCTTTTTCCTCTGTGTGTATATTAACAAGGAATCCCACCCAGGCTTCTGTAATGACTATGTGGCAGGTGGCTATGAGTACTTATCCTGCCTTCAAACTCTGGCTCAGCCACTTCCTACCTAGGACTTTGGGACTCTTTTTTTTTGTTTTTTGTAGTTATAGATGGACAGAATGCCTTTATTTTATTTTTATGTGATTCTGAGGATCAAACCCAGTGCCTCATGCATGCTAGGTAAGTGCTCTGCCGCTGAGTTATGGCCCCAGCCCTAGGACTCATTCTTTACACCTGTAAAACAAGGATAAAAGTTATTATCTCAAACTACTGTTAGGATGATTAAACAACTTGAGATTTTAAAAATATCTAGAATACTTTCTGGAGTATGGTAAGCCTTTAAATAAGTGTTTAGTTGGTAAATAAAATCAAGAACATTCTGTCTTATTTTGCACTATACTCTGTGTTTCTAGAATAATGACTTGCATGTATCAGGTGATTAACAAATAATAGTCAAATGAATAAACTGCCTTTGGTAGTCATAAAAGAATCATGTTTAATCCCTGTTAAAATATTTACAAAAAGCCACTTTCTAGTTTTATTCCAAGAGGGAGAAGTCATATCTCTGAATTGTGAGATGTGAGTCTCCTGTTCACAGAGAAAGATTTAACTACCAAAGACTCATTAGCTCATCTCCCATGAACTAACTAGTGGGATTACTTAGGTTTTTTTCCAGAAAATTGTGAGAATACATGTGAATTAGTTACATACATGTGAATTTATTTGAAGGGCACTTTTTTTCTTTTTCCTTTTAATTTTTTTTTTTAAGTATTTGACTTGCTATCATGCAACAACTCCAGCACAGAATAAACCCCTTGAAATAGGATGATTAACCAAATAAAAATGAAACTTTTGGTCCATAGCTGCAGATACTTCCTAAATCACCAGATTTTTCTATGGGATTCAATTTCCACAAAATAAAACACTAATTTGGTCAAGCAGTACTGTTCTTTCTTTGATTTCTTTTCCCATATATACTTCATTTATGCTAGTTCACTAAAATGTGGTTTTACATGAGCTGCCAGGCATGCAAGAAATTCCTTTTAAGAGTCTTTAGAAACTGTTTTCTTAGAAACAGGAAGTCACATTGGATCAAGAGAAAACAAATCCAAACCTCCGTGATGTCCAAGTGCAGTTTGTAATGTTGAATCTGAAAGACTTCAAACAGTTCTAAGAATATCATCACATCATTTAAATAAAAACGCTGTGAAGGAAAGGTCAGCCTTTTTAATTAGCCAAGATGCGTTAAGAATTCAAAACATAATGATAAAAGAATCATAGTCTTATTTAGAGCACATAAAAATTACATAAAAGACATTAACACTCCACTCATCCTTCATGCCTGCCATTCCTACAGAAATACAGACTCCCACCAAATGCCACAGAGACCCCCACATGAATGGACTAGACTTCAAGAGAAATGGGAACTAAAGCTATAAATCAGATCACAGTGCACTTATGTAAACACCTGTGTCTATCCTCAATTACTGATAGCCTAGATAAAACCATAATAATGAAGAGTGACTCTAATTCTAAGAATTTGCCATTCCTTATACACAAACTTGTATGAGAATCACAAATGTAATCATTTCATTCTTCGGACTTGGTGACTTGGAATTGAATTTGGAAAGAACGGAAAGGGATGGGGGTCGGAAGAAGCAAGGAGAGTAATATATATATATTACAACTGTACAAGTCTTATGTCTGTTATAAGACTTGTAAAATTGTTGATATTAAAAGCCAAAGAGGATTTCACTTACAGTTGTTTGAACAATTTCTACAATATCGCCAACCACCTCTTCCTGAATATCTCCAGGACCAGTACTTACATACCATCCTTTTGGCACTACTAATCTTAGAAATAGCACTCTATCTTTCCCATCACAGTACTTGTCACATTTTTTATAACTTTTGTTCTTGTTTACTATTATGTCTTTGGCATCTACTAAACTGAGTTACAGTAGGTACTAAATAAGTATTTGTTAAATGAATAAATGAGTCAGTGAATAATTGATTATTTGCTACCCATTTAACTTCCAGTTCTTCTGGAACTACATAGTATAAGTTTTTCTGAGATGAACAAGCCTATGTCTTCCTTATATTGATATTAACCGAGGAGCTCAACTTCCTTCCATCTATACCAACTGTTTAACATCCTCCTTAAAGATACTATCCACATGAGGCCAGATGCTTCCCTCCCTGAAGAAGTTCAGGGTACAGAAACTATTGCCTCCTTTCACCTTTCACCCCTACACTAACCTTAGAGTGATTTTTTTTTTTTTTTTGTACCAGGCGTTGAACCCAGGGGCACTTAACTTCCATGCCACATCCTCAGCCCTTTTTTCTATTTTATTTAGAGACAGTGACTTGCTGAGTTGCTTAGGGCCTCACTAAATTTCTGAGGCCCAACTTGAACTCAAAATTCTCCTCTCTGCCTCCAGAGCCACTGGAATTACAAGCCTGTGCCACCAAGCCTGGCTACAGTGATGCATTCTAAAGTAGCTTCTGTGGGCAGTCAAGGCCTACATCTGACTTTCATTAGATTTACAGCCACACAATAATTCCAGGTCATTTTCATGTAACTACTCATATGCCAGGTTCTCTCACCCACATATGAGGCGGTTAAATTTTATAATCTAAGGAAAAAAATTTATGACAAGCAAAAAAGGATGAATGTAAAAATCAATCTTTGGCCTATGAGTAGAAGTCATCTGAAAAACATCAATATTTATGCCATCCCTATCTAATTCACTCACAGTACCTGGCAAGATTATTATCCATTTTAATCACTCATCATAAGTATTTCCCAAATTTGGCCAACTGGATAAAACACTTGAGGAATTTAATAATAATGATAACAATTTTTGTTCTTTGTCCAGATCCATCAAATAAAATTTCTAGGAATGGGGACTGAGAATCTATTTTTTCTGACCTTACTTAACTGGTTTAGAGTTATCTGTTCTGGATTCCCATAATAGACTATCCTATGACAATAGAATGTATCATATTCCATCAAAATTCATGCATATAACACTATAAGTTATAAGCTCCAAGAGACATCATTTTTGCTTACAAGTATATGCCCATCTCCAAATAATATGCCTCAGAATGGAAAATGCTGATTGTTAATGAAATAAATGACAGAAGTGTATTTCAAACTTCTGAATAAATCAATAATGTTATTTTTGATAGTTTATATAAATAGTAAAAATAATTGGAAACAATAAATGGTAGCCTAATAGTAGATAGAGGAAAAGATCAGAAATATTTCCCATCTATATGTGTCTCAGAAAATTACCCAAAATGTCATCCTGAAAAGGGTCAAGATAATCTGTTCTAAATGATGATTTCTCATATAACACCTTTCAACCCATTATATCAATTCAGTTTTAATGGGCTGCATTTAGTTTTCACATGACCATGCATTAGCAAATTAGCCATACAGGTAATTACAATGATAGCATAAAACCTAAACCTGTCACTGAAACTCCCCTAACATAAATGTGTTGTCCTTATATCTATCTTCTCTTCATAAATCATAACTGATTGAATTATTCATTCACTTCAGTTTACAGGAAGGAAGAACATCAACATTTGGATCTTCCAAAGTATTATGAGAATTTATTAAATTTTTCAAATGATGTTATACATAAGTATGAATAAAAATGTAAATCAAATTTCAACTGGACAGAAGAAAAAAGTTTAAACTACTGTAAGATGCATAGCATCTGTATGAAATTTGTGTTTATGCATGAAATTCAAGTTGACTACACCTAACACTTTGGTTTAAAAAAAAAAATATATATATATATATATATATATATATTAGTTGTAGTTGGACACAAAACTTTTATTTTATTTATTTTTGTATGTGGTGCTGAGGATCGAACCCAGGGTCTCGCACGTGCGAGGCGAGCGCTCTACTGCTGAGCCACAACCCCAGCCCAACACTTTGTTTAAAATAAAGTGTTCCATTAATTATTTTTACAAATATCAACAGTCAAGAGAAAAATGCATTGTTTTTTATTGTCTTGGTTTTGTGGTTTAGGACATTCTACTGCTGTCCATATTAAAAAACTTAATTGCAATCCAACCTCAATCCTGGCTTCAAGCTTCAGAACTGAAATTTATCCTTTAAACACCTTCAAGTTCCACTTGTTCATTTCCCAGATGGGAAGTTCTACCCTGAATTCCTACAGCAACTTTAAGAGTATTTTCTAATTTACAAGATAGTCTGAAAGTGTGTCAGATACTTTAGTCTTATCCTCTCAATCAAATAATAACTATAGATGCTTCTCAGCTTGTGATGAGATTATGGCCAGATAAACACATCATAATTTGAATATATCAGAAGTCAAAATGTGATGAATACAGCTAACCTACTGAGCAACACAGCTTAGCAGTACAGTACATTGTACAGTATGGGTTGTTGAACCTCATGATTTCATGGCTGATGGGGAGCTACAGGGAGTATGAGACCACACTGA